AAGATCGCGGCGGGAAGGATTTTACTTATTGACTTAACTCACTGCGGTAAACGCCAACCTTAACCCAAACCATAAATCTAACCCTATTTCCCTAGAATTTGGCACAATGACGCCTGTACTGTAAACGGTGCCTCTTCTCATGCCATACGAGACATCCTTGCCTTCCTTTCTAATATATTATACCCTATGTAAATGTAATCTAACCTGTAATAATCCAGTCGGTAATAAACAACCTATTCTGACGTAATACAACTCGGAATAACCTAGTGCAATCAACTTAAACTAAGTTACTCTGTTAAAAAGGTATTTCTTACACTTTAAACCGTAGATATCTCATGAAGTGTGTTGTTTTTGGGGGCTGTACATCTTTTGGGAGAACTGTCGGACAAATTAGCTGAATTTTATGAAATCGCTACTGATGGAACCTCGTTCCCCGTGTTGGATGACGACTACTTGACGCCATTAAAACTGGCCAGATTTCAGTGATTAGTAAACGCAATGCGGAGAGAAATTTATCTGCATGTTTGTCAAAAAGGCAGCACCTTTAGCCACCGAACAGCATCTTACTTGACGGAATGGCTACACCTAAGCTTGCAGTCACCTTAGGTTCGTGACCCCCGCAACAGTCAAGCTGTTTCCTTGTACAAAAAGATCAGCTATCCCCTTACTATATAAATATATTAAGTATATCAACATCAACTGATGTTTGAGCAACAATCCGCATAAACTTTTCTCACGCCACTAAAAGAAGTAAGTCTTGAATCCAGACCACACTTTTTCACTGTTATATATTTCTACTGTCTGGTTAATAATTTTAGTCAGCTAATAGACCTATGAATTCTACCTCAGCAAGCATAAAGTGGCAAAAATGCAAATTCCACTTACTTTTGACATTCCGAAAAATTCGCCGTTACCGTAGGCATGGAAAACCGGAATATTCAGGACCATTGTGTTGCGAAATTTGCCAAAGGTACTTTCCTTTGTGTCATAAATTATCATGACGAAACATTGCCTCGTATTTCGGGGAATATCCTGCAATATAATAAATTTAATTAGGGGAACTTCAATCAACTTTGATTTAAAAAGATATATTCATTAGTTGCTTTGCCTTAACTTGGTGTAACTTTTCTCTGGCAAATCAGGACATAAATGTAAGTTCTACTTCTAAATTGCTTAATTTTTTAACACTGGGCGATGTTATCTCTGTCGGTAAGCTGTCCTGGGCTTAAAAACTGAGTGGGATGGAAATTAAGCCAAAACTCAACGTCGCAATATAAAGATATTAAGGGCGAAAATGCACATACCACAGGAGCAGGCCTATACATGTCCTTCGAGGCAACCCATCCCGTAGCGTTGGAGACGTTCTGGTTCAGTTCTTTGCAGAAGAGAGTTCAGGGAATCTAGAGGAAGCGACTTACCAGCTTCATTGGCCATTTCTTGCTGCTCCATCGCGGCTGTAGACAACGGCTGTCTCAGCAATCAACGCAGACTGTTTGAATGCAAACGGATCGATAACTCTGCGCTCAGCCAATGAGAATCGACAACCAACTGTTGGCGCGTTATACGAATTCAGGTTTCTGCCCAAGAGGACTGGGGCGGCGCCTGACAAGACCGATGACTTCTGGACCGCTTAAATGCAGGCATTTTTTAAATATTTTGGACAATTAGCCGAAAAGAACGGTTGAAAGAAGGCTTAAACAGCCCTGCTTTGCATGTTTATTGACTGTCTGCACAAGGTGCTAATGCAATTGAAATAAAAAAGTTCTGTCTAGGTGCAATAATCGTATCAGTTAAGAACTCGACGAGTAACACATTGAGTTTTTTTGGATGCATTCCTCAAAAAAATGTAACGAAAAGACCTTAGAACAGCCCTGTTTACAGGAGTTAAAACCTAGGAAGGGAGACCTCCCCCACCTAAAAAAGAGTAATTCCCAATTTCCTGATTACGAATGTGTTCTTATCTTGGTGAGAGAAACTTGAGTATCAGCAGTCTCCAACCTCCCTCT